GAATTCTCATTGGTTCAAATGCGAGTCATGGCTGTCCTAATATATTGGGATATTCCGGACTGCTAACAGCTTTTTAAACCTTCATAGCTCAGGGCCAATTCAAGGGTGAGATAACCAAACAGTGATGGCTTGATGTAAATGCTTAGATGGAGGCCTTACCCAGGCTAGCGTCCATACAGGCCTCATGTAATTAAACAGGCCCTTGGTACTTTTCATTACACTGGTCAATGGTTCTTTTAGTTTCTAAATAGATGACCAATTTCTGCCAACATGCAACCTCTATGACTTATAAATAAGTTGAAAATTATTGTCAATTCCAGAAAGGTTGTACATAAGAAACTTACAACTTAATGAATAACAGCTCCATGCCAATCATACAGGAGTACAGTGTTCATTGAAATTTATTTCTTTCTTCTTTTGTTTAAAGGACAGGCTGAATGTGTTGTCCTTTGATGTTGTCTGGATCCACACTTACAGGTTCTCCCACTGATGAGGGTTCGAGTTCCATCACTTTGCTCTGCCACACCAATGACTTGTCTTGCTGCAGTTACCAGGTTGGGGTCTTCTTCATTGTCTCCATCATCATCATTATCATTATCTGTATGTGTGTGGGACTGCTTGCCTTTTTACCCATTTCTTCCTTGCCTTCTGCTCCTCTGCTCTGGCCACCTTCATCTGAATTCTGATCTTTTTGGGGTCTGTTCTCCCCTTTTCTATTTCCATCATGCATTCTTCAACTTCTCTCTGTGATGGAAGGTATAACTGGCAACTGAAGTCTGTCATACAGGTCGATTATCCATTGGTAAGACTTGCCACGGGCTTCATAGCACCACGTCATGTTCCCTTGGCAAAACCCACAATTTGTCAAAGTCGTGTAGTGTAATCGAAAAGAAACTACCAGTCCAATAACAGGAAACCCTGATTACTTTTTTTCCAGCCTTTTCCAGTTGTGTTGTTCCAAGAAATATCCATACCCCCCAACAATGCAAGGTTTTATTTGAAACCCCCACCCCTCTGAACATTCAATTTTAGATTCATACTTCCCTTTAAAAGTTTTGACTTTTGAGAACCCCCCTTTCCACCTGAGAATTTCTAATGAATTTTCTGGAACCGCAAATGTGTAAGATAAGATTCTAATATCTAAGTGAACTTATTTTTACTTCTGTGGACTCATTTCAGTGCAACCAATTGGCATGCATGCCTACAACAAAAAATATAATTTCAACAAGATCATATAGCAAAATTAGGCAAACAGAGAATTATAACAATGGAGCATCTTCCTACAGATACGATTAAATAATTCTTACCTCCAAAGATTCTGATCCTTAGCTCAGAAATCTGGCAGGACACTGAAGTGGGCTTCGCAGAGGTTGGAGTGACCTCTACTCATGGTAGGGTGGATGACATTGTCAGCATCTCCTGCACGGCATTCACATTCCAAACGATACACCATCTGGTGGAAATCACATGTTAGCTTAGCCTTCGTCTTGTAGGCCTGATCTTCATGCTGGATCTCCTCATCCTCATCACATCTCATGCAAGAACAGACAATGTTTTCATGGAAGCCCCGAGATTTGCCTTCGTCCTATTCATGAATATCTCTGCACCAAGAGCTCTCATTCGCCGAGCATACTTTTGGGAATCTTCACATTGCTGCAGACAACAGAAGTGGCTAACACGAGTACTTGTCAAAAAACTATCACTCAGACAACCACAACCAGCCTTATATCGATCACATTTGCATTTCAACCACGACACAAGAGGAAAAATATCTTTGTATTTTCTCTTTATGTCTGCTGAGAATTCCTTCTTCTTGGTCTGTCAACTAGTTGGTGTGGGCTCTGCCAACATGTCCTCCACACTTGAACACTTTGCCATCTGGAGGGTACTGTCTGATGGCCTTTGCAGCACTGGAGTTACCATCTTGTCACACAACTTCCACTTTACAACCCTCATCTGCAGCTTGCTTGTAACATTCCTCTGCAAGAATCCCCTCCATGGACTTTGCAGTTCCTTCAAACAACTCTTTGTTCACCACAGTATCTTTTCCCCGCATACACTTGTGTCCATACTAGAACAATCCCCCAGTCAAATAATTTTTTTACAGTAAATGACCCATTCTTACTAAAATGACCATGCGTATGCCTCATGCCATCTGATGTGATAACAGCCCTCTCCCAACTGCCCAACTCTCCTTCCTCTTTTGCTTTCATTCTTTGCTTTTCTTCCTCGCACATCTCATTCAGAATATCTGTGATGTGTGGATACACCGGTTTAATTGTATCGTAATGAGGATTTTTGGAAATGCAACTGATCCCCAGACACTGTTTCAATGTCCTTGAAAACTTTGCATACCCATGTCCGGTAATAAAGAATGCCACAGCCGGTGCATGGCCTACAACTGTTCTCCTTGATCCTTCAACAAAAGCAGATCCATTGAAATTCACTGTTTACATACTACAGTTACTGCAGGCAAACGACACTTGCAAGGATCCTCCAAGACCGCTAGTTTCCACTTTAGTAACTACTAGAATACCTATAGAAAATAAGAGGAAAAAATATCTTTAAGCTTACATTACCATTCAGAAAAAAATTGCTCATAATTTAATGACTACACTTGCGTTTATTGTAATAGTTGTTGATGCCTGAGGGTTTGCTGGTTTGGGACAGATTTTTACAAGCATAACATTTGTTATTGGCTTAGGCATTTACAAGGAATAGTCAAAGACATCTTCACTTCACAAAAAAGTCCTTTCAAACAAACAAAACAAAGTTTAGTGCATTTCTGAAATATAAAACATCCATTGAACAGCTGACTGATTTGGGGAAAATAAACACAATCTTAGCCATGAAAAGCATTTGTGAGAAATTCTCAAGAAAATTAATTTCAACGAAATATACTTTTGACTACCTGATTGAGAGAACTACAATCACATATTGTATTTCACAAATAATAACACTGGTTTGAAGAACTAAGGTACGGTGAGTGTGATAACTTCAATCTTAGACAAATACGAGCCTAAAAAGTCCTGCTGCCATTTTCAGCTGTCGGTGTAATTACTTACCGTTGCAGTCTTTTGTTGAGCACTTTGAAGTTTCATTGATTTGGTTCACTGAATCCGTGAGCTATGTTGTCTTGCAGACGAAGAATCTTCGCTCCATTGCCTTTGATTGTTCTTCACACTTAATACTGCAGCCGACCACTTTTGAAGTTTCTTCATCTGTCAGGATGTATTCTGAGCCGGCTGATTCATCTTGACTTGACTCTTCTGAAGTAGCACAGCCTTTGTTCAGACAATCCTTTAAATTTCTTGACACTAGCACTCTCTCTACTTCTTTCTGAGATTGGTACACAGATTTACCGGGGCTTTCAAACTGTACTTGCTTGTGTCCTCCTGATTTTTAACTTCTCTCTTTCCATTTTGCAGGGAGCATAAACTT